TCTTGTGTTAGTATTCATTAATTATTGTATTATTTATTTGTATTATAACTGTAAACCTACTTTGCCCATCTCTGTATTCCTTTATAGCAATCTGGAGGCCAGGTTCAAATTCAGATTCTCAAGCTCCTCAGCAGTCCCTAGTGCTGGTATCCCCACCCCTTCCCAGGCATGGCTTCATCCCACACCTGGACGGGCTTCATGTGTGTGCACATGGACATCCCAGCCTGCAGGTGCATGCTCTGTTCACACCTCCCACAAATAGCCCCTTTGGCCACCTCTCCACCCAGGGGCAGCTGCACCGAAGAGGCCATGCTGAGCCCAGAAGCAGGCCAAGGGCCTTTGGGCTGAGAATTTCAGTCTGGATTGTGTTCTGAAGGGAGGGACATGTGGTCTGGCTGAGGGGTACAGTTAGAGGTGAACCAGATCAGGGCCTTTACTCCATGATTCTCGCTGTCCTGCTCCTGCCTTGGTCTCAGAGTAGTACCGGAGGGAGAAGCAGGCTAATGAACTGATATAAGCATACATGGTAAAAAGCGGGATAGCCAAAATCATGCGGACTGTCTAGGTTCAGAGAGGAGAAGGGACACCTCAATCCATCAGGGCAAGTACAAGGTATGATTAGTGAATTGCCTGGGGGTAAGGAGCAGGAACTGTCAGGGAGACCTGCGGAGGAGTGTGGATTTTACAACCTTGAAGGGGTGGGTCCAGCCTGGGCCAGGAGATGGAGGAAAGCATTGCCTACAGCCCTTGTCCTAAGCCAAGGCTGAAGGAGGGGTGGCAATCTAGTCAGTAGGATTAGAGTTGTGCTTGGGTTAGGGGAGAGAGAGGAGGCTGCTAATGTTGGATTCTGGCCAAATCCTGAACAGTGAAGTGTCCTTTCCCCTAGACAGAAAGGAACAGTCGCTTTTAGGGCTAAGGGCTGAGGGAGAACTAGAAGGCAAAGATGGCTCACAGCTTTCTTCCCTGAAGACCAGGGGGGTACGGAGTCCTTTACAGAAACAGAATCCAGAATAAGGTGCATGATACTGGGCTTTCCCAGTTTGACTTGCAGGTCAATAAAGACATAGAGGTGGAAGGAGAGAGAAAACAAATACGATAAAGTAGCTACACAGTAAGGAGTGGCCACACGCATGCACACATGCACCCATGCACACATGTGTACACAGCAGGAGTTTCTGGGAGGCAGGGAGCCTGATCTGCCAGGGGCATCAGTGCCTCGGAGGCTCCAACTGGAGAAGGAACTTTTAGTTGCTCTGGGCCAAGACACACAGAGGAGATCCCAGGGTTTAGCAGTAGAAGTTGGGGTTATAGAAACCAGTTTACAAAGAGTTGAGAACATATAATGAGAACATAAAGGAAGTTAATTTTCAAAAAAATTAAGCTCAGCTTTATGGGAAGAAGAGAGACTAGAGATTTGTTTGATGGGAAAGTGGGTCCGGGGAAGAGATGGATGTCCAATGGGGACACTGTTGAGGTTATTTATAATAATGTGTGATATCCTTAGCTGAAAGGCTGCCACGGAATAGGACCGACTGGAGCCGTGAGTAGTTTGCTAGGACCCACCCACCCCAGCCTCCCTCCATCTGCAGAGAGAGCAGATGCCCCGCTCTCCGCCTGGAGCCTGCTAATCTGCACAGACTGATGGCAGTCTGTCTCTCCGACTGGAGCCTGCTAATCTGCACAGAGTGATGGCAGTCTGTCTGTCACCACCGGAAGCTGGGCTTCCAGGCCACCCCACCCAGACTCTCACCTCTCTGGTGCCTGTGGCTCTTGTCAGTGAGGCCTCCCCCTGCCCTCCGTGGTTCCCCTTCATAGCACTCACCACTGTCCAGCGTATACCCACTATTTCGTTATGGTATTTCTGTCCCTGATAAGAAGGAAGCTCTAACTGTCAGGACCGTGTCCGGCACATGTAGAGGCTCAAACATATTTGCTGAGTGTTGCACATGATGGGAGGAGGAGAGAATGGATGGGCAGGATTCCAAAGCCGAGGTTGGCCAATTCTTCCTGCAAAGGGCCAGGTGGGAAATATCTTACATTTTCTGGCCACAAACAGTCTCCATCACACATTCTTCTTTGTTGCTTTTCAAAAATAATCCCTTAAAATGTAAAAGCCGTTTCTAGCTCATGGGCTGCACAGAAACAAGCCAGGGACCTGACTAGCTTGCCCACTGTGGGGAAGTCAGGGAACAGGGCCTGGGGTACTGGTGAAGCTGTCAGCTCCTCAGGGAAGTGAGAAAACCTGAAACATGTGAGGGACACCAGGGTGATGAACAGGCAGCAGGAGGCTCACAGCATCCCCCTTGCACTCCCTCCTCTGAGGAGCAAAGCGAGTCCTGGCATTGGGTGTGAGGAGCAGGAGAGGTTAGAAGAACAGGATGGCTACTCAGATAGAGATGAACAAGAACATTGATAAGCAGCACAGCATTCAGCCACAGATGGACAACATGAACGGGTGTGTTCTGGAAGATTGAGGGGATGTGGGGGAAGGAAACCCTGTGAAAATCCAAAGGTGGTTGGTGGCATGCTTGTTCTCAATAATATTGGACTTTCTTCATATTCTTTGATTGAATTACTTCTAGAAACAACAAAGGGATATGAGCTTACTTGTGAATGATCATATCAACATTAAGTTTTATTAAGGGCCTATGGTGATTATTTACTAACTAGGGGCCCAGTGCACGAATTCATGCACCTTGAAAGGAACTGTGGGCCGCAAGGCTGCAGCAGGCACAGGGTTGGGTCTCGGCTCATCTTCCGTGCCCCTGCCTGGCCCCTCCTGCTACAGTCCCTGTCTGCTGGCAGCCCCACTACCGCCACTCCACTTCTGCCTCCACACGATAGTGACACCAGCTCTGCTTGCACCGCTGAGGGTGCAGAGCGACTGGGGCTGGTGCCATCAGCAGCTGCTGCCCAATTGCCCCTCAGGAGCAGGGGGAGGTGGAGAAGCCCTCAGGGGCGATCAGGTCTGGCAGCAGCTGAGCAGTTGGGACCAGCGTTGGGCACCGGCAGCAGGTGTGAGCGATGGCTCCGGCGCCAGCCGCAGGTACAACCGAGGCTGGCACTGGTAGAGGGTGTGAGCAGCAGCAGGTGTGAGCAAGGAGGCTCCAGCATTGGGTGTGAGCAGGGCTGGTGCCAGCAGCACGTGGAAGTGCCAGGTGGGACTGTGGCACGCGGGAGCAAAGAATTTTCAGTAACCACAGAGGCTTACTCCAATTACAGCAACTGGTGCCCCACCTTGGTCTGGTGCCCCCGTTCACCTGCTCCTCCATCCCACCAGCCGATGCCTGCCATGTTCCGTGCATGCCCCCTGGTGGTCAGCGCACATCATAGTGACTGTTTGTTTGGTTGTTCCACCGTTCAGTCTATTTGCATATTAGCCTTATATTATATAGGATGGCTAAGATACAGCCATATCTCATTTAATCATATCATGAGGCTCTAGCATTATCTCTGATTGACATGTGAGGAAACTGAAGCTTAAGAAGTTAAGAATCACCCAAAAGGCACAAAGTTGTTAAATGATAGTTAGATGAACCCAATCGAATCTGTCTGACACTCAGTCTGTGCTCTTACCATGATAAGGTGCTAATTAATGAATTACTATCAGCATGGAGGGCTTCTCTAGTGACAAGTCCTATCGTCACTCTGCCTTGTTCAGACTTTTAGATGAAGACTTAGATGGTATACTTAGAATACTTCAGTACGATGGGAACAAGAAGTGTAGGGAATACAGGATTGTCCCAAACTAGGATGGCTCACCAAAGAACAAATGTGAAAGAGGTGAGAATATAATCCTTTACTTAGGTCAGAAACAGCTGTGCAGTGTCTTAGCTGTGTGGTGCGCAGGGAGGGAAAATGCTTGGCGCTTTCAGTCACCTCACTGTAAGGACATAGTGAGCTGCAGCTGGTCCAGGGGAAATAGAGTAAGGAAACTCTTCAGGACCACGATGTGAGGACAGGTTAGACTTGTTCTGTGTCACCTCTGTGGTCAGACCTGGGAATAAAAAGTGAGGCTTCCACGGAGCCAGAGCTCAACTCAGCATGAGAAATAACTCCGCCAAGTTCAACCTGTTCAACATTTGCATTCGGCTGCATCGGGAGCTAATGCATGCCCTGCCTCTGGACGTGCTTTAAATGGAGACTGAATAAGAATGTATTATAACTCACTCCAGATGACCTCGGAAGGCCCTGCCTCTGAGCATGTCGATGATTAAAGCATTTCTATACTATTTTCCAAAACAGTAAACTTCTCAGCTTTCTCTTGTAATGTGTTTGCAGCCTTACTTGGCACAGTGATAGATATTCAGTGTGTGTATTCTGCAGAACTTCTGTTTTGAACCTGAGTTGTACAAATTCTGATTTTTCACTTACAATGTGACAAGATGTTTAGCACACAAAGTTAGGCTTGGAGTATTTCTCTAAAATGGATGTGTCATTTACATGTGTGTAATTCTTGCCAAAGATTACACTGAATTTATACTATATCCTGCCAATACTTTTTCTAAACCACATTCTATGATGAATTTTTTGACAAGTTTACAGAGGAATGTATCTATATAAGGATACCTTGGAATGCTCCCTTTCCTTTTAACAGATTGTTTTCACATTTACAGGATAAATTTGTTTCAGGAAGGACATAATCTATTCATTTTCTGAGACCATATAATTAGTTCTTTACCTTAGTTCTGAGAACTGCTTTCTAGTTTTACCCTGTTTTTATAGTATGATACAAAGTTTTAATTTTTCAATATTATCAATAGAAAATTAACTGGATATATATTACAAACCTCTAGTTTGCTGTTTTTAAGATATTAAAAAGCCTTTACTTTTGTAAGCTATCACCACTAAGTCTTTCTGACATTCATGAACAAAGTAGAAACAAAAAATAGGAAAACTTTCTTTTCTCAGTTTTAATCCTTTAAAAGTTAATCCTTAAAGTTTATCTAATAATCAGTGTGCATACTAATTGAAAAGAAATACTTTTTTATTTTTTTTAGGTGTAATCCCTTTTCATGGATTTTCAATGTATGGTAAGTTGAACTTGAAAATATTCACTGTTTTATTACACTTTAGACAATTAAGCATGGAGATCACACTTTATAGCACATCACCACACACTTAAGTGATTGTGCACATTTTTAAACATTGAGTTTTGTATTTATTTATATGTCCAATAAAAAAAAAAACAATGTCGTTATAATTGCTTAGATGGTGAGCTTGACAAATTAGAATTAAAACAAACTGAGACTCATAAACCCAGACAACAGTATGCTGGTTAGGAGGGAAGGAAGGTGGTAAAGGATAAAGGGGGCCAAATATATGGTGATAGAAGATTGTTGTCCCCACTGTTGCTGCCCCAACCTTTAGGCTAAACAGAAATACATTAATTCTTTACTTTTGTGAAAAGAATCAGCAGTAAATTAATACTTTTCTTTGTGAAAAGGCCCTCGGTGTCCTACATGAGATAATCATGGTGAGTGATGTAATATCAAACGTTGAAAAATAGCCTTCAGTGAAAAGGAGTCACGGGGCCTAAGACTTTGCCTTATGCTCTCCTTGATGGTGTTGGCTGAAGTGACTGAGGTTGTAATATAATGTCGCTGTGTACACCCCTAGGCTGGGGAAATTGTGGATTATAGGGTGCTCTGCTTTATCTCTTTTATAAGAGGAACTTAAAATAGAAAACCTACAAAGGTTAAGGACATAAATTTTACCTCTAATAATAAAAAATGCTAGCCCTTTTGTCCTATTTTAATATTTTCACCTGCAAGAATTTTTCGAGCAAATTGTTTTTAAAAAGGGTACTTGAATGATTTGGAGGACAATTAATGATGTCAAAAGTTTAAATCTAACAATTCTCAGAGCACAAAATGCATCAACTCCTGGTTGTTCACATTTCTAGTCATTGAAAAAAATCTAAGGTTTATACACACAGGGAGGAAATGTTTGCTAAGGAAATAGGTGATGCTATAGAGGTTAGGTATACTACCTTAGAAAAATATGTTAAGCATCAGTATGTAAGCATCACAAATACTTGAGCTGCAACCACTTATTTAGTTAGAACCAGTACATTAGAATAATCACAATCATCCCTCAGGAACTGTAGTTAGTCCCTTACCATTTCAGTTTTAGTTACTGTCTTTCTTTCAAACTATAATATTTATGTCTTTTAAAATTTGATTAAAACTTTCCTCTAGTTTAAATTTGTCGATGAATGAATATTTTTATAAGAGATGGACTTGCTCTTTCATTTTCATAAATTTATCTTTTAAATTTTAGTAGTTCTGCAATATTACCAGTGATTTTTTTTTTATTCTTTCAGTTGCACCACTTTGTTTTCTATACAATGAGCCTTCCAAATTGTATCAGATATTCCGTGAGATGTACGTGCGTTTTTTCTTCAGACTTCATTCCATCTCTTCTCATCCTTCTGTAAGTTCATAAAAAACTGGATCAAATCAGATTTAATATGTTTTTTATCCAATAAAAAATCTTACTCAATTAAAATATAAAGCAGCAAATTTTCACTTCTGATGTTGCCAACAAGGTTTTACAAATAAACATGAGAAGAAGAAACTGATATTTAAATATTTTGGTAATAATTAAAAGAGGGAAAGTCCTTTATCAATTGCATTTAAATGATCTTTTATATGTTAAAAGAAAAACATAGAAATGTCTGTATTCTCCTCTTTGGCAAAAATGCCCACCTTTCTTGAAGACTGATTTTCTCACCTGTGGAATGAGGTTGGCATTGTGTTCTGTGGCCTGCAGAGGCACTGGCTCATGGCAGGTTCCAATAAATATGGCAGGTTTTATTGTTATGATTATCATTATCACCTCTTCTTTGTTAATGAAAATCAAAAATGTATTTGTCACTTATTTTTCAGTTTCATGTTTGGCTAATTCTCAGTTATCATATTAGATATTTTTCAATAAGTAGCTCCTTTGGCCTCAATATGGAAGTCAAGGAGAAGCAGATTGGGCATTGAACATTTTTATCTGTTTTATTTTGGCTGGTCCTTTGTTGTATCTTCTCCCTGCTATGAGCCTGAGTAAAAACTTATTTTATTCCAGTTATACTTTTTTCCACCTCTGGGCCTGTTTTGAGCAACTTGACTTACTTTCCGGAAGAAACATTAAACTGGAATGTGTTGGGGCTACCAAATTTTCCCGAAGAGGCACCTGTCACGGCTGCTAAACTGAACAGTTGTCCTTTATTCCCCCAGCAAACTGTGCATTCCCATTCCCCTTCCCCACCTCTAGTTTGCTCTCACGCATCGCATCGCCAGTGAAAGCTGGCAAATAACAGGAACCAGGGTGTGACTGATGCACAAAGGTGCCCCACCAGTTATCCTAGTCTCTTCTCTCTGAGACACCTTGATTTAGTGCTTAATTTACATGAATGCTTAATCTAGAATCCTCAGAAGTATATTAAGAATGCTCTTTTCTAATGTCTCATTCTTAGCATCAGATTTCTTACACTCATGTTCTATACCATTTATGCTTCAGAGTTTTGACCTGGCTGCTCAGTACCTGGGTTTTCCCCGTACAGAGCTCCGAAGCTCAACACTGAGCCGTCTGGGTATTCCTCTGTCTCCACATGGACCCCGAAGTGTCCTTTTTCAGCTCATTGATTGGGCCAGCCCTGCCTCTGCCCTTTCTTTATTCCCTGGAATAAAGACTTAGAAGTGGCCGGCTCCTTTCCTGGCTTACAGCTAGATTAAACTATTTGGAACCATTACAGCTCTTTTTCTTTAGAAATTCAAAAAGAGGATTAAAACTTCCTTACCAAAATCAAACCCAAGGAATGCTGAGCTGCAAGAAAGACTTCATTCAGAGTTGTCAAGTAAAAAAAAAAATGCACTTGCAAAACATCTGCTTAAATTGGTTACTTCCTGTCCTCTACAAATAATGCCCTTTTAGGAAAGTAGACTTCAGTAAAAAATAATCTTTGTATGAAATAATAAAAAAAAAAAAATCTTGTTTGATAACTTTCTGGTGCAACTCTCAAGCAGTCAGCAGTCAGTCTTTCCCTGTGGATGGATTTCAAAGAAAGTGGAAAAAATCAGGAAATTCTTTCCCTGCTGGGTGAGGCAGCTGGCAGAGAAGAGATATGTGGGGGGAGAGAGTAAAGGGTGTGGCTGTGGCACCAGAGAAATACCTGGAAACTGGCATGCTTCCAGAGAAAACTAATTGCTGGGCCTAAGTGATAATGCATGGCTTACAAAGTAGCAGCTTTCCTATAAAATGATGTTTTCTTTGGACTCTCTGAATATTACATACCAAGTTATGTGGGGGCCTATTGTGTTGAAGGGAGGCTCCATGGCATATCTGTAGGTTTCCATAAAGAGGAATAAAATGTATCTTTAAATATAGTGTTGACATCATTCGTGTATGTCCTGTTTTTGACCCTTAAACGATGTAAAAACATGTTGACAAAAATATTTATGTTGATACTGGTTTTCTCATTTTCATTTGAATAATTTATCAGCAGAGTTCACTTTTAAATACTATAATATGTTTTCTTCTTGTGACTTAACTGTTGGCAGGGTATTGTGTCACTCTGTTTGCTATTTGAGACTCTTCTTCAAACTTATCTCCCTCAACTCTTTTATCATCTACGAGAAATTGGGGCTCAACCGTGAGTATTTTCCTCTCCCAATTGAAGAATACATTGTGACATTAGAAGGTTCTGTTTCGTCATTGTAAATCACTTGCAAAGATGCGGTAATTTTTCAGAGAAATTAAACTAACAATTTTCCCCATAAAGCAGTTATCAAGTAGTAAATTGTAAGTCTGCATTGTACCAAAAATTCTTGGGAGGATTATTTGCTAGGATTTTTGTGCCTGGTATAATTATCACTAAAATGAACTAATTTCTATTCATAATGAAAGGTGTTGGCCCAAACTGAAGCAAAAGTTTGTGGAAACCTGGGGGGGGGGGGGGGGGAGGCATGTATGGATATTGGGAAGGGGGGGCAATGGAAAGATTTATATGCATATAATACCTTAATAAAAAAATAAAAAATAAAAAAAGTTTGTGGAAACCTGAGAAATGTGATAATACTAAAATTAAGTCCATTTAGGCTAAATTGATCAGAGAGCACTTTATGAGAGCTATGTAAATTTAAAATTTTCTCTTGTTAAAGGAAACTAAACCAGTTACCTATCAATGATTGTACACTATGATTTTTCCTTCCAAAAGTTAGAATATTTGTTCATATTTCTCAATATGAGTTATCAGTGAATATGCAGGATACCTCTGGACTTAAATCCCCTTGATTCTCTTCTCCCTTTTTAAAAAAAATAACAATGTATATAAAGCAACAGAAATTTCTAATTGGCTTTACATATAGTTTACATATAGTTTTGTTACTATATTCTCTGTGCAGCAGTTTCCCCCTATTCAGGAGGGCATATTTGAAAGGAGCATTAACTCTTTGAAGCCACAAAAGGAGTTAATGAGAAATGGAACAGTTTAGTGTTTATCTTAAAGCCACAGCAGATGGATGGATGAGTGGGTGGATTAAAGAGACAGACCCAGATTCAAATTCTAGCTCTGCTAAATTGTATAATCCTGGTAAAGTTATTTAAATTATCTAAGTCTCAATTTTTTTTCTTTTAATCAAGATAGTTTAAATTCCTCCTTTTTTAAATCAAGAGAATTTCTATCTCATGTAGATGTTTCAAGATTGAATGATTAGTTAGCTAACTAGCTAGCTAGCTAGCTAGCTAGATAATATATAGATCTCTTTCTTTGTCTATTTTTTTCTATAAAGCACCATTGAATTTCAGACTTCTTAGATCTTAGAACTGCCATTTATAAAAACAACATCTTATATCATACATTGATAATACTAAGTTGATATTATTTACTTGGTAGCCATTAAAAAACAGGAACCTGTTAATGATGAAGATTATAAGACAAGAATGTGGTAGAAATATTGTATATTGAATATAACTAGACTTTACTAGAATGAAGACAGTTGATTGCTAAAAACTAAAATTCTGATATTTGATATTTTTTCTAGCCTATTTATACACTTTGATCATTAAAAGTAAATTTATTTTAAAGACATGATAAACATTAAAAATCTTATGCAGGCCAAAACCGGTTTGGCTCAGTGGATAAAGCGTCAGCCTGCGGACAGAAGGGTCCCAGGTTTGATTCCGGTCAAGGGCATGTACCTTGGTTGCGGGCACATCCCCAGTGATGGGTGTGCAGGAGGCAGCTGATCGATGTTTCTCCCCCATCAATGTTTCTAACTTTCTGTCACTCTCCCTTACTCTCTGTAAAAATATCAATAAAATATATATATTTTTAAAAATCTTATGCAGGAAAAAGTATAAAAACTCAATTGTCAAGCTAGAAATAAATTTTTTAAAGGCTTTCATGAATTAAAACTGATAGTGTTGGAAGGTTTTTAATTCAATATTTAATTTATTTAATAGATATAGAACAATTCAAGTTACCTATTTCTTCTTGATTAAGCTTTGGTACTTGGTTCATTTTATGTTATCTTATTTATGGACATAAAGTTACTTATAATATTTCCTAATTATTCCCAATTAGCCTTTTGATATCTAGACTCAGAGTGACTTCACCTCTCCCAACCCTGAGATTTATATTTGTATCTTCTCTCTCTTTTTTATTCTGACTAGAGGTTTATTAATTTTATTCTTTTTTGAAAGAGCCAGTTTTGGGTTTTATTGATTTTCTCTATTGTTTTTCTGCATTAAATATCATAGCATAAGCTCTTATACTTATTATTTTCTTCCTTTTGGTTGTTTTAGGTTTATTTTGCTCTTGCCTTGCTACTTGTTTAAGGTGAAAGTTAGATCAGTGGTTTGAGAGCTTTCTTCTTTTCTAATAATGTTATCAATTGCCCTCAAAGGACTACTTTACCTTTATCCAACAAATTTTGATATATTGTGCTTTCATTGTCATTAAATTCAAAATATTTCTTAATTTCTCTTGTGTCTTTCTCTTTGACTATGGGTTATATAGAGTGTGTTGTTTAATTTCAAAATATTTGTAAAAATCTATCATCTTTTTATTATTGACTAGAGGCCCAGTGCACAATGTTCATGCACTAAGATGTGGTTTGGGGCAGGTGTCCTTCAGCCTGGCCTGCGCCCTCTGGCAGTTGGACATCCCTCTTACAGTTCGGGACCCCTTACTGCTTGGCTCACTGCTCCTTAGTGCTGCTGCAAAGGAGGGAGAGGTTCCTGCCACCACCACTGTGCTTGCCAGCCATGAGCCTGGCTTCTGGCTGAGCCGTGCTCCCCCTGTGGGAAAACACTGACCACCAGGGGGCAGCTCCTGCATTGAGCATCTGCCCCCCGGTGGTCAGTGCGTATCATAGTGACCAGTCATTATGGTAGTTCTGCCATAATGGTCACTTAGGCTTTTATTATATAGATTAGAGGCCTGGTGCACCAATTCATGCACTGGTAGAGTCCAGCCGGCCGGGGGAGGGGCTGCGAGTGGTTGGCTGGCCCACCTTACCTCCCCCCTCCCTCCCATTCAGGGTGGTGGGGCCGATTGGGAGCAGGGCCTGCTAGGGAGGGAAGAACACAATATGGTACTATTGTTCTAATAAGATGCTATGAGAGATCCAAAAAATGAGATTAGTTGAAGATAATAATTTAGACTTAAAAATCAAATGAATTTAAAATTTTTAAATATCCATTGGACAAAAGTTTCTTTGACATCTTTAAAAAGTCATTTTAAAACCAACTAAAACATCTAATTTGTCAATATTATTTTGTACTTTGTATTTTATTCTATTAGAGCAATAGTTTTCTCTTTCATATTGAGAAATTTCTGAAACTCTGGGTCTTTTTTCAGTCTTACGAGAGTTAATATGACACCAACAAAGACAATACCTGGGCCCTTCTCTTGCTTTAAGAAAATAGCACAGATATTTACCTACATAATAGTATAACAGTTCCATCAAAGAGTTTGTCTAGCGTCTCTCAGGGAGATAAAAATTATGTTTAGATAGTAATAGATAGTACAGAAGGGATCAGGCCAAAGAGTTCATTTCCTGATTCCAGAGATAAATTGTTGTTGTAACATAACCTGCTTATAAATAGTGGGCTCTCATACCTCTTAGGGTTTTTTTTTTGTTTTGTTTTGTTTTTTTCTTGTTTGTTTTGAGGGGTGGGGAGGAGGTGGAATTTAGTTGCATTTTCTGGTCGATCTTTCAGAGTTATGGTAACCCCTCCTCTTTAAAATGAAGGGTTTGAAATTAGAAATCTATTTCTTAGTTCCCTTAAATTTTAAAACTATTTTTCTTTGTCTTCAAAAATTCCTTTTATTCAACTTAAGTAGCCATTTGTCTGGGATGTAGGAACATAATTTATTGAGTAGTAAAATTATGCAGCTATCAAGTACTCTTTCAAGCATTTTGAAAAAAAAAATTCCAGTGATCATGGCTTGCCTGAAACTGTCAAGACTATAAGATCAATTCACTGAGAGCTAATTAGTACATACCCTGAAAAATAAGAGGTAGAATTGAGTCTTCGAAAGACTGGGCTGTAGCATAAAGGAAGATCAAGCAGATATAATTCTTCCTCTCAATACTTTGAGACCAATCATTTGAAGACTCATGGTGTTATAAATGCTCAGGTGATTTCTAAGATTCATTTAATAACAGAATTGGTTGGGCTCTCCCCAGCCTTTTGTAAGATAGTGCCTTTTCAGAAGAAAGAAAAAACCATTGGTAAAATTTATTTATTTTTCTTTGCTTGCAGACTTCGCATATCATTTAAATGGATGGTTCGAGCTTTCTCAGGATATTTAGCTACAGATCAACTCTTGCTTTTGTGGGATAGAATCCTAGGATACAACTCTCTAGAAATTCTTGCTGGTAAGAGTAAGTACTTATTTGTAAAACACATGCTGTTTCTATAGTAAAGCCCTTTTCCTTTCTAATATTCACCATCTGTAATTGGAGTTTACGTCTACACTTATCTGTCATTGTTAATTCATGAACATGTATCTGCCTTGGAAGGCAAGTACTGAGGTTCTGTGATCTAGATACTTCCGTGTAACTGCCCAACACCAGTCTATTCCCAGTCTTTCTTTTTGGCTTCCAGGGAAGTTCGTTTCTCCCCCTTCACCACTTTCAGTCCAGCCAGGGTTTACCGTTCAGCACCTGGGAGGCCTGTGCACAGAGTGTAGGTACACACTCCACCCTGGATTCCTCCGACTGTCTTAGCATTTGTTCTGTGCTCCAGCCCAGCTGCTGCCTGTAATCCTACCTGACACTGAGCCTCCCCATGCTTCTGTACTTCAACTTATGCTAAATTCAAAACCTTCCCTTTTGCTAGTGGTCCCTGACTCCTGCCCTGGTGGCTGAATTTCCTCTTTTAGGTATTCTCTTAGACAAAAATATTTTATGTTTTTTCCCCCCAGGAAGTCAGGTTCACCTCTCATTTAATAATTTAGCAGTTTTACAACAGATATTACACAGGCAAGTATATAACACATAGAGCACAGATTCTCACTGATTATATTATTTTGCTTCTCTTCTACAAAGTAGACTCAACTATTTTTATCATTGATATTATCAGAAAATTCAAATAAGTATTACAAGGTTTTTACAACAATGGATGGAAAGCGGAAAAGTAGGCAGAGTACAGGGTCTGACCTTCTCCAGTTGTGTGATATTGAATAAACTATTTGTCCTGTGTCAGCCTTTGTTTCCTTACCTTATATCGCTAGTATAATATGACACCTTTCTGGGATTCTGTGGAAATAATGCTTAAGTGAAGGTGTTTTTCTTGTCGAAGGTTGTCTAGGGACCATATTAACGTATTATTGACTGCTGAGAGGTCTAGAGTAACTGGGTGGCATTTTGAAAAGGAAAATTAGAGTGATAATAAAATGTCACAAAGATAAATATCACCCCTGGTGCACTCAGAGATATTGCTTACCAATGTTTTCTATATCAAATGGTTTTTAAACCCCATCTACATATGAGTAGGAAGGAATGGTCTGCCCTCGTCTCTTCTGGCTGAATGAAGTGAATTATATAAACTGGAGACAGAAGGGTCTCAGAAGTCCTCAGCTATCACTTCTTTTCCACGTTTCTCTCTGGCAGTCCTCCTCCCCTGAACACTTTGGTACAGGGAGGTCCCTGTCTTATCAGGTTGCCCATTTCTTTCTGGTTAATACGACTTGCCAAAATGTACGCCGGGTAAACCAGTGTCATCAGCATGGTTTTTCTATTCTCAGAAACCCCTCTTTCCCCCAAAGTCTCCTATTTTCCCGGCTAAATGGACTTGTTTTCTGCTCCCATTTCTCAGGCAACAGGATTTTAGTCTTTCCACCAAATAACTCCTCAGGGTGGATCCTAAGTTTTGAAAGTATTGTATCTAGCTTTTTATATCATTAAAAAAAAATACTAGAGTGTGTTAATGAAAAGGGTTCAGCATAAGAAAGTACTTTCTAATAATTAGGACTTTCCAAAAGTAGATGGACTTTTTAATTGTCACCTGAAGGGTTGAAATTTCTGCTAAGAAAGAAATGCTGCATTAGAAGGCCTTCAAGGTCTCTTCCAGTTTAAATGTTCTCTTTCTGTGACTTATCGCCCTTCAGCAAGCTGACGTAAAAGAGGAATAAATTAATATTGAATACTGCATTTGCTCTAAGCAGACACATGCTATGAACACAATACCTGAAGTAAAAAGTTAATGATGAATAGGTAGAAACCCAGTCTACACTGTTGCAGCCATCAAAAACCAACAGGGAAGCATTACAGACCATGTAGAATGGCACTGGACTGAGGGGTGCTCCACCATGGGATGCCAATAAAGAGCCACAGGGCAGACAACTTCAGGGAAATGGATACAAATTAGTTTTGATTATTTAAAATATTTTGCTATTTTTTTGTTCTGAATATTTGGGATCCACCTTTTTTGCTCAAATGGGGTATTAAATATAGTCCTTAGAAATATTTTAGTAAATATTACTGGCTTTAGTTATGAATTAATCAGAGCCTTTTGCAGAACAGTTTAAAGCAAAGGTGCCTTAATGTTCATGATAGATTTGCTTAAAATTAATGAGAATAGTTCAAAAGTCCAAAGTAAATATTAGCTTTTCTATATATCAGATGAAACATGATTTCAGTGGAAAACACCCTAAAGTATAGACCTTTCCTCCCGGGCAAACAAAGCCGTGCTGTGGAAGGGCTGGGCAGAGCAAACAAGAGCAGGCAGGGAGGAACTTCTGTGATGCGACACCAAGATAAATAAAGGTTATGAGCACATGAGCATTCTGGGCGCTGAGGTCACGTAGTGACCTGCTCTTTCTTCCCTCCTCTGCATTTGGAAAAACAATTTCCCGCCATGCAAACTCTTTCCTGCACAGCAGATCTGACTCTCCTGCCAACTCTCACTGACTCTGTTCAACTATGCATAGAAGGGGAAGGTGTGCTCACACGCCTTAGCTTCTACACGTCTTTCTGGTCAAACATGTTCCAGGTACTGGGAAACCATGAAGACGCTGCTGGTTCACATACGTGATTTTTTTTTAATATTCTTGTAAGCAAAGAAGCTCGGTGACTGTAAAGTACTCAAGTTTTCTCTTTTTCAACTAAAGGGAACATTCTGTGTTGCGGATCTCTTGTATACCTTGCTACACGTTAAATAATGCCAGCTGACTTCACTTCTTAAATTCCGTTTACCATTACCATACGCCCCCAGAATTCTTCTCTCTGGCTAATGTTCATGCTTTTTTTGCAAAGCTGTAAAAAATTTGTCCTCCTCTAGAAAGATGCCTGTGCTTCCCTGTCACTGGGAAAATTAGGGGACTGCACCCTGACTTCCCCTTCCACCAGGGCCACCTGGCATCACCCTTCATGCTCTCTCAGAAGTTACCCTGAGGGATAGCAGAGGAGACAGTCTTAGGAAGCACACAGATTTCCACGTCAAGAATAAATCGTTACTCTAACCTTCATGTCAGTAATGTCAGCACATGGTGGTTAGCTGCCCTGGCCAGAGCCCAGATATATTCAGTCTACTGTTTTATATCTGTGTAATTTAAACATGTCACCCAAGCTTACAGTGCCTCAGTTTCCGCAGTAATAAAATGGGGCGATAGTAGTATTTTACTCATAGAGTTGATGTAATAATTAATTGCTATTTTCATTATTCCCATAGTAAAAATCTGTGTGTGTGTGTGTGTGTGTGTGTGTGTGTGTTCGTTCTAGCTAGGCAATGTACTTAGGAACCAGTCTTCCAGTGTGTGTGTGTGTGTGTGTGTGTGTGTGTGTGTGTGTGTGTGTGTTTTTTCTAGCTATACAATGTACTTAGGAACCAGCCTTCCAATAGTTTTGTAGATTTCATTTCCTAGACTTCAGTCCTCCTTGGGCAGTGAATGCATTACCACCTCAGGTGACGGAGTAAACAAGGGAGAGGGAGAAGTCAGGCATCATCTCCAGGGAGCACCGTCTCCTTATCGGGTTGCCTTCCTCTTCCACGGGCCCTCCGTTGCTCACGCTGACTCATTCTCTCACAGGGCCTTCTGTGGGAGGTTACATAAGAAGCGGTGCATGTTAGCATTGCTCGTTTTTCATATGCTTATGTTTAATGAAAACAAAAGCCCAAAGGTTGTTTTCTCTTCAAAGTAGAACATTAACCTTCAAGATGTTTATAATGGTTTTCTCAGTTTCAGCTTTTTCCTGTAGCCAAATGCAGGCTCAGCCTCCCAGCAGCTCTCCCCACAGGCAAGTCCATTTGTGACCCTCTAAGAAGGAGCAATGCTCAGTATAACAATATGAATACAACAAAATATTGTGAAGATGCTTTTAAGAAAAGCTGTTATTGCCACATTTTTGTCATGATGCCATCTCAATGCATAGGAAACACAATGTGATATATTAAAAAAAAACCAGTCTCCTTATAACTTTTTAGAAGCCTCTCTATTGCATTAGTAAGAAACACCTGCATCAAAATTAACCTTAATTTAAAGACAGTCATTAGAGCTTCCTGCCATTGAAAAAGTATTATAATTTAAGTTGTAAGGATGAAAGAAGCAATTTATTAAATGGCTTTTCAGGACCTTTGAATTTTTCTTCTCCCCAAAACTGTGAGATACGGTTTATCAGGCACTATTCTCCAGAGGCAAGCTCTGGAGATCCGTTGCAGGACCTTCGCTCAGCGCGAGCGTGTGCGATACAAAGCACCCGTTCTGAGCTCTCTTGCGGGGTTGTGGGCACAGCAGTGCACTTGTGGGGCTGATGAGGCCAGCAGTTGAAATAGTGTGCATTCTCTTCCAGTCCTGGCAGCTGCCGTGTTTGCCTTCCGAGCAGTCAACCTGATGGAGGTGACATCACTGGCTGCAGCTGAAGTAAGGATAAGTTTCACTCCGAAGGGATGGAAATAGCTCCTGAGGGCCTGCCAGCCTCGGGCACTCGAGTCTCAGATGCCTGAGACACACTTTACTCACAGCCTAAATTTTGAACGTGGGTAAAACCTGTAAGTTCTGAGCTAAGTAGTATTTGGTATTCAAAATTCCTTAATGACTTGAAAATAATCTTGTGAGAGAGTCATAAACAAGATTATTGTAGAAAGCCATTCTAATTATTATGGGGAAACAATATGCCTAGTAATTTTAATAGAAACTATTGGGTCTTATGTTGTGTTTTCTTACTAGTGTTTGCATCCATGTGTTAAGCTCATAAAACAAAGAAAAACTAGCTGAGAGGGTTAAAGGGCATGTGTTTGGACCAGTGGTCAGCAGACTCGTTAGTCAAGAGAGCCAAATGTCAACAGTACAATGGTTGAAATTTCTTTTGAGCCAAAACTCGACTAATGTACATGCGCCACGAAGTTTCAATAGCATTGTACGTGCACGCCCGCATGTGGTAAATATTTTGTGGAAGAGCCGCACTCAAGTTGCCAAAGAGCCGCATGTGGCTCGCGAGCTGCAGTTTGCCGACCACTGGTTTGTATGCTATACTAATGATAAATGGGCTTTCTTGGTTGTTTCTAATTGTGAGTTAATTACTTAAAGCTGGTTTCTTTTCAGTAGTATACCTGACACATGGTTAAATTAAACAGTGGTTTACCATATTACTCTATTTGTTATCTCTCATAGGATCATACATTTTATTCTTAAAATAGCCACCTACATTCTTTTTTAAAGGGAAGAGGATGTTTATGCGTCTTGCAACTGAATAAACATTAGTCCCATCTCGAAATGATTTCCTGAAGTCAGTTCCTCCTTATACTGCTACCTCAGAATGAGGATTCCTAATGTACGTTTATTTATAGAAGCAAGTTGAAATGTTAGACCTCTTATAAACTCATGCTACCTTGTATATTTGAAGAAGGCTCAAGGCTAAAGACCACGCTAGCATTTTGCACATGCTCTAACATTAAGATACACAGAGAAGAAAAGGACCATTGTAGCTTTATTGCAGAGGTTAGGACACATCTAAAGAATTTAGAGGGTGCGTCGATGCCAGCATCACATTGTTGCCCCTTATTTCACAGGCTTCCCTTTGCTGATGAGAATACTGACATTAACAATTCTTTTTGTTTGTTTGTTTGTTTGTTTCAGGCAGTTCTCGCTGACCTTTCTACTTTAAAAGTTATGCCTCTTCTTCAGATTTTTTTGTTTGCTACTGTCACCTGATCCTCTTCAAGGTCACTGACAACACAGAGTTTTTCATTAGAAGCTAATCATGAACTATGCAAACTGCATAAAACCAAAATCCACTTCGTATATAAGCCAATAAAGATCATGTTCCCTCCTTAGTTAAACCTAAGTCATTTTTTGCTTTTTGAAAAAATAACTCGGCACACCAAATATTGCACTGCATGCTGCTGATTTTCAAGAGAGAAGCAACAGACTGAACTTCTGGCGACTTGAGCGTACTATAGATTCAATCCTGACCTGTAAAAAGCATGCGACAACATATGCAATAAGAACTAACGATGCTGTAATTAACTGGAAGAGGTAATGCAGCCTCTGGGACAATTCTCTTATGTAAATTTATCAGTTTGTAAATTTATCTCTAGATAATGTATTGTTTTATCTTATAAATTGCTCTTCACTCAGAACCAGGGGTGGGGTAGGATGTGGGAAGAAGACTTGAAAAAGATAACGCTCTTAAGTAGAAATTCAAATGTGCTTTGGTGTTTTTAACAAGGTTTCTTTCCCCAGAGATTTTTCTAGATCTCTCTCCATTTTATTTCTCACTTAATGTTTGTACTAGGGGAGGTCAAATACAATTGTGTCCACCTGCCAGTATTGTATTCTTTATTTCCTGGGGTAGGGGAGAAAGTCAAAATTATGGCATAATTTGTTCAAACTTCTCACCCTTTCATCCTGCGATTAGAAGATGACACTGCTGAGGCCTGTTGCCAGATTCTGTTACTTTGGAGGACACCTAAGGATTCAAGGAAGGGAACAAAATATCAAAACCATGTTTGCTTTCCTGACGGTTTGTTTAATGAGGTTTACTTCTAGGGAAGAGCAGCTGCGAGACCAGCAATAGGTACTGAACATTCCCTCCAGAACTGACATCATGCAAGGCTCAATCTTATATTGGTCTTTATTATAAGTGAAGGGTCTTATCGTATATTACTTTCTAAAGGCCTACCATTTCTGTAATTTGGAATGATAGTATGAAAAAAAAGAAGTCCAAACACCATTCTTTTGATTTTAGTCTCAAATTCAAGATGCTGATCAATTTAACGAAAGTCTAAATCATAGAGTGGAACCTTGTTTCTCAGACGTCTCCCATCTCCAACCATTTGCTTCTCAACCCAGTTCCCCTTTTAAGCTGATACTGTATGGCCAGTCACACATCCCCCAGGTTACAGGAAAAGAGAATAGAATGCATGAATAAGTCAGTTTACCACTGTTAAAATCTCAGGATGTTGTGCTGTGAATTTTTTTTTTTTTTTTTTTTGCTTTTGTTGCTGCTTATAATTATTGTTAAATTTCAGTTTTTACTATATATTTCCTTTCCTTTTTGTTAAATTTTCATTTATACTTCATGGTTTTTTTTGTTTTTAAAATGCTTATTTATAGAATAAACAGTATCATAGACATGTACTGTATATAAGAAAGGTTAAAACGGAATCATTTGGGGGTCTGGAATGGATTAATTCAGTTTACATGATTTCTAATGGGGAAAAAATGATTCAGTTTTCAGACAACCTTCCAGAATGAATGAAGTTCGAGAAACAAGGTTTCACTGTATATCGGTATTCTTACTGAATGCCTAGAATTGTATTGTTTTATCCAAATGTATTCATGAATCATATATATATATATATAATAAGAAATACACGAGTCTTAGCATAACACTGTTAAGTGTAGAGGAGTTTGGTATAGCTAGATATTTGAAAATATTATGTGCTTTTATTCATCAGGGACTTATTCACTTACTAAGGATTAATTTATTCAGTGATTGATTCCTAACACCCATTGTTGTTGTTTTTGCAGGTGATGCAGTTAGGTCATATGCTTTGCCATTCTGTGTGTGCAGATGCACACTCACCCAGAGGATAATTATGCGCACACCTATGACTTGTCTCCCTCCTTCTCTCTCTGAGAAAATGAGAAATAACATGTAAGGAAGAGAGAGAATTTTAAACGACTATGGTCAAACTTATACAGAGGTTCCATCATTGGCCTCTTTCTTTATGAGAGTATTCATAAGCCTTTTAAAAAGCAGCGGTCTTGTGGTCTAGTAGAAAAACACTAGGGTGGCTAGCTTTGCTTCTTCCTATGAGTCCCTTGATAATTTACTCTCTTATCTGCAATTAGGGGCAGGCAGGGAGCACAGGCGGCAGGAAATGATTGTCTTTGCTCTGTGTACCTTCCAGGATTAAGTCAGAGCAAATGAGAAAATATATTTGAAAGGGACTTTTTAAACTGCAACGCACCAAGCCAATATAAAATGTTGGTAATTAATTTTAACGATGGCATTTTGAGGTCAAGTGGTGGAAGCTAGCATGTGAAGACTGTCCATCCTCATTAGCATCTGTATGGTTTTATTTGATTATGTGAGATGGTGTCTATAAAAAAAACACACACACAAAAAACGAACATATGAGGGCATAGGAAGGTCCTTGCATTTGGAACAGGTGACTCCAGCCAGTCCTGGAGGCCACAGGCGTTCTGCTGCTGTCCAAACCCCTCAGCCCTGCGCTGCTCTCGGATGCGTGTTAGAATACTGCATTCAGGGCAGTCGGCTGCTTTGCCCACTCCATCTCTAACTGCTCCTCCTCCACTACCTCTGTTGGCTTCCTTCCTTCTGCATTCTCCTCACTGACTCCTGCCATCCTCGAACACCTCCTCACATCTGCTCTGCCGGTGCTCACAAGAATCTGAGGGACCAGGGATGCTTATGTAATCATTCTACCTACAGTATTGCACTGATGGTGAAATAGACTCAGAGACTAAGCTATATTTGGCTCTTCTGGATTTCAGTTCACCCACTAATGAAATATGTGTGACCTTTTAGAAGAGCTTATTGAACAGTCTTCTTGATCAGAACATTTGGTAATGCAGCATGCTGGCTAATTGAAATTTCCAGCTTATCTTAGCTGCACAGCACCCCCTTCCACTCAGCAAATACGCTTTCTATTTCATAGAACAGAGACCATTAGCATTGAACTCCCTCGAAGCCCTCCACTTTACCACTTTGCTTTAGACCCTTTATATTTATCTCCTTCCTTCTTATCTCAGGAAATGTTTACTCTAGTCCCACAGCTCTCTACTAGTCTATACAGATTCAATGGGCCACTGACATGCTTAAGTTAAATGGTGCCCCACTGCTTACAGATAAATCCCAGGCTCTGTAGCAAAGTAGGGAAATTCTCTGCAGCTCGGTCTGTCCGTTGCTGTGCTCCCACACTGCTCCACGATCCTGTACTTCAGTCTCACAGATTACATGCTGATCCTCAACCAGCCAAAGCCATCCACTTTGTCTATCAGGAACTCCCTTTATCAAGGCCCCACTCAAACATCTTTATTGTGATGACACCCGGAGCTGTCAATTAGAATTAATTAGGCCCTTCTCTTTGTTCTCATAAAACTATTCATCCACTCACCTGGTACTTGGAATATTGAGTGATGGCTTTTTGTATACATGTTCTGATTCTCACATCACTTTATTCTCAAGTCAGTTTCCATGGACTAGCTCTAATATGGAATATTAAAGAAGAGAATTGTCCTTATGTGTTCATATTCCCAGGACCTGTTCTAAAAATTTTAAGGATCTGTTTTTCTTAAAACATCATTTCTCCTCTATTTTTTATTTGGTAATTACCCCCTACCCCGTGAACTTCAGATGAGGCTGACTCCTACCCCCAGGACCTCTGGGTCCTCACCAAGCCAGCCACCATATGCTAGGTTACTTCTAGCCACAGGGATTGCTTCAAAATCAGTGCAAAATCTCAGACCAGTGAGGACCAATGAAACTTGATTTACGGGGCTTTGGTTTAATCGTTCAGGGAAGCTGGATATAGGGTCTGAACAGGCTGCAGCCTAGGAATGGAAAGAGTGAAAAACTGTTCTGTTGACCTGTTGATGTCCAGGTCGCACTCCACCAGTCTACCCCTGGACTGTTTCATCACAAGAGCCAAAAGATTCTCTTTGCACCAGAGAGGACCCTAACCGAAATACAGTTATTTGACTATTTAGGCGATCCATTGTATCATAATGACCTTATAAGCATGAATTCTATGTTCCAGACCTACTAAGCTACCTGAAGTACCTTGAACACATAGTATGTCTCTCTGCGTTGGCCCTGCACCCATACACCCATCTTGTGCTTGGAACACCTTCTCTTTCCTCTTAATGTAACTCTTACTGGTGCCTCAAAACCCAACTCAGGTGTTGCATCATCAGGGAAGACTGCTTCTCTTATGAATTACCCTCTTACCCTAACTATACATAGTTGTACCATAATCTTATACTATGTGATTGTCTTACTCTTCTACTGGACTGTGACTCCTTAAGGCAAAACGGTTTCTTTCTCAACTGTATCTGTCTAGAGCCTGGTGTAGTGTTTACCCCATGGTGGGCTTTAATGTTTTTTGAATGAATGGATGAAATCATCTAATAGCGTAATCCACTCATTCTACTGATGAGGAAATTTGCTCAGTTCTTAATAACAACTTACTTGTCCAAAGTCACACAACTATTTTACCAACAAAGATTTGTGGAGTTGTCTGGGAAGGCCCAAAAGGGAAAAATATTTTGAGTGAAAAAACAAACCTGGAAATGCTGAAGCTCACTCAATATTTCTCATTTATATCAACTTCACTAAGATATAGTCTGCGTAGAATAAAATGTGTGCATGTTAAGTATACAGTTCTCTAAGGTTTGACAAATGTATGTAACCACACCACTGCTATCACAGTAAGGCACAGGACTTTCATCACCTAAATCAGTTCCCGTTATCCCCTTCCCATTCAGTCCCCCATAGACACATTGACTCCAGACAACCACTGATATGCTTCTGTCCCTAAAGATTAGATTGGTCTTTTCTAAATGTTCATGTAAATGGAATCATATATTCTAGTATCTATATTTTTTCTTTTGTTCTTGGCTTCCTTTACTTAGCATAATGTTTCAAGATTCATCAATGTTGTTGTGTAATTAGTAGTCCATTT